ATCATGTTTAAAAGGTTGCAGCAGAATATGGAGAAATGGCAAGAATTCAAGTTAGATTCAGAAGTAGATGTGGATGTCATTGTAGATGGCAGATGGATCTTGCATGAAAGCAGAGAATATCACAAAGATGTTTACCTGTGTTTTATTGACTATGCAAAGGCATTTGAATGTATGAATCATAACAAATTATGGATTATATTGTGCAGAATGGGAATTCTAATTGTGCTCATGCAGAACCTGTGCAGAGACTAAGAGGCAGTCTTTCAAACAAGGGAATACTCTGTGGTTTAAAATCAACAAAAAGGTATATTCAAGTTGCAACCTTTCACTATACTTATTCAATCTATATGATGAGTAAATAATCTGAGAAGATGGATATAATATTAGGATTTTGCAAAATACCGATAATACAACCTTGCTTGTTAAAAGTGAAGCACTTACTGATGATCAAAGACCTTTGTTGTGGATTATACCTCAACATACTGAAAGCAAAAAGCCTCACAAATGGGCCAATAAACAACATCATGATAAATAGAGAATGGATTGAGTTTGTCAAATTCATTTTATTTGGGTCCACAATCTAATACCTCAGAAGCATCAACTAAGGAAGCAAAGTATTGCATTGGACAAATCTATTGCAAAAGACTTCTTGAAAGTGTTAAAAAGCAGATATCACTTTGAGGACTAAAGGGCAACTGAGTTAAGCCATGGTATTTTCAGTTGCTTCGTATGCATATGAAAAATGGACAATAAATACAATACCGAAGACCAATGAAGAATTTATGCCTTGAATTCATGGTATTGGTGAAGAATATTAACTATACTATAGATTACTAAAAGAAACAAATCTGTCTTGGAAGAAGTACATCCAGAAGGCTCCTTAGAATCAAGAAAGTGGAGAATGTCTCCCTTACTTTGGACATAGGATCAGGAGGGATCAGTCCCTTTACATAATGCTTGGTAACTTAGAGGATCAGTGAAAAAGAGGAAGACCCTGGAGGAGATGAATTGACACAGTGGCTGCAACAATGGGCTCAAACATAATTACTATTGGGAGGATGGCTCATGACAAGGCAGGATTTCCTTCTATGGTACATAGGGTCTAGGGTTTCTATGAGTCGGAACCCATTCCCACTGCACTCAAAAACAACATTCCTCAACAAGCCGGACTCAGTTACTTCTAATCAAAAGGATCTTGCTTTCCGTACATGATAGAAAGGTGCACCGGCCTGGGAGTTCTGAAGCCAGACTCAGAATTCTCTGACTCAAAATGACAGTGTGTTTTCGATTTCAATTTTATCCCTTATCAACATGAAAGGTCAGCCAACAAGAGAGCTGCTGCTGTTATGTGCTATCCTGTCGGTTCTGACTCATAAGAACCCTGTGTAGGGTTTCCGAAGCTGTAAATCTTTTCCCACACTAGATTGTTTAAATGTTTAAATCCCTAAAATGAGTCTCAACATGAGACTCCAGAAAACTGTTTTGATGCCTTTTCTATGGATGTCTTTTCCATCTGGACACTAGGGTCCTATATCCCCTCTAAGGAAATGAGTCATTGACATCAGCGCTATTTGCATATAATTGGGGAGGAGGAGGTGCTCTGCTAGGATGACCCCAAAGTTGTCAGCACTTTCAGGCATTGGGAATCTGGCACATCACCGACCTGTGCGATTTCTCCTTTCTGCCCGTGCTCGCCAGCAAATCCTGACCCCTGTCCCCACTGCAGAGAAATCTAAGAGACTGCTGCCGACGTGGGCCTCTGTGCCCAGAGGCGCGGAGCCGCAGGCGCTGAGCTGAACTGAGCGCTCTGCGGGCCCGCTCCCCACGCCGAGGCGAGAGGGAGGGGCCGGAGGGGGCCGGGCTGTGCCAGACGCCAAGCACCCGCCTCTCCGCACTCAGTCTGCTCGGGAGCCCAGCCCCGGACAACCAGAGCGGCGGCGAGCCTGAGCCGGAGCCCGGGCCTCAGAGCCGGGAGGCGCGCACGGAGAAGGCGGCGGGCGGATAGGAACAGCGGGCCGCGCTCGGGCCCCAGCCGAGTGTGCGTCCTCCTGGTGGATCCCGGTAAGTGCGGGCGGCTGAGCTCGGTGCGCGCAGCCCTGACTCTAGCCAACCGCCAGGCGTGGTGGCTACGATGGTCGTTGTCCTCTGAGCCCGGGTGCGCACATCCCGCTGCGGCGCCTCTCCGGCTCACAGGTGGCTACGCTGCAGATGTGGGCGCCCCAGGCCCCGCTAGGAGTTAGCCAACTCTCCGTTCTGGGGAGCGCTTTCCCGAGCCCCCTTGTCTCCCACCCTGCCACCCTTGCTTCGGTACCCTCTTCCCCTCCAACCCACAAGCCATCCGGGAGCTGTGGGCCAAGCGTGTTCCCAAGCTCCATCCCAGCTCTTGGCTTCTGCTTGCAGGTAGGTTTCTGTCCTTTAGTTTTATTTCTCTATAAATCCAACAGAGAAAGTTTGAGACCCCAGGTCAAAGTTGGGGAGTGAATGGGGTGTCAAGTGCCGGCAGAGGGGACTCCCAGGGAGCGGGATGATGGGTTTGCAGGGCGAGACCAGCTCAAGCAGGAGCTGGGCGTGCGCTGGGGAGTTGAGTCGGTCCCGGATCCTAGCCCAGGCCAGGCATTGTAAGAATCCCCAGAGCGCAATGAGTCGCTTAATCTTTTGTGCTAAGCTTCGACATCTGCAGGCAGCCGCGAATCTTTGTGATGGGGTCGGGTTATCTCTGGAACAGCAGCAACTCAGCCTGGCTTGAAGTGTTTGTGCTCTTGTTCTGTTCAGCAAACCTGAGCTTCAGCTAATCTCACTGTTTCACTGGCCTGTGTTTAATTAGCCTATTTTACACTCGGAATGATCTCAGCACATCCTTCTAAAATGTAATCTTTGATGTAAGGGGAAAAAAAGTATTTGAAAATAAAAAACAAGAAACCTTCATATTATCAGCTGTCATATCCTGATCTTTTATGCATCTTCCCTGTGGGATAGAGAATGAAAACTCTGCTTTTCATATCAAACCTACCAAAGGGACAATGCTAGGGTTATTTTTGGCAGATTTTGTGAACAGAGGTGTGTTGCTGCAATTTACATTACTGTTTATGAAATATACATATTTTGTCTTTTGAAATAGCCTACTTGTTATGTATGCTCACCACAGCATGTTAGTTCACCTAAGAGTTGTTTGTTTTACTCTCAATTTTAAATATGACTAAAGCATCATCTAGCGTTGTGGTTACGAATCGGGCTGCCAACCTTAAGGTCAGCAGTTCGAAACTACTAGCCATTCCGAGGGAGAAAGATGAAGGTTTTCTGCTCCCGTAAAGATTTACAGCCTCAAAAACCCTGTACAGGGTCGCAATGGGTCGGGACTGACTCGATGGCACTTAACAACAACAACAATGCATAATCATCATTATTATTATTTAATGAGCTTTAGGTGTAAACAGTATGCAGATGTTTATGGATGGCAGTTTGCTCCTGTCTCCAGAACATTTTAAAATAAACTTAAAATTTTAAATGCTATTTCTCTGCATCTGATATGAGAGGCTTTTTCATTAAAAAGAAGATTCTGGGATCTTAGTTCTGCAGGGGCAAAAAAGGCACTACCTCTGGCAACATGCAACCCTTTCCGAGTAACAGACTAAATGAGGAAAGTTTGCCTACTACTGGAAATTATTTTACTGAACTAAACGGGCATAAAATGAATAACTGTTGGTTGTCAAACACATAGATGTTTCTGGGAGAAATAGCATCATTTACCACTGGGAGATTGTACATAATTTAAAGCAAGATGGACTGGTAGATTTTCAATTATAAAATTTTCAATTTAAAAATTCTCAATTATCAAATTTTTATATTCACTGACATCTACATATAACCCAAAAAGCCCACTGCCACTGAGTTGAGACCATATTTATAGTTCTACTACCCCATAGAATTTTCCAAGATTGTAAATGTTTACAGAAGCAGACTACAGCATCTTTCTCATGCAGAATGGCTGGTGGGTTCAAATAGCCAATGTTTTGGTTAATTGCCCAGTGCTTAACTGACTTCACCACCAGAGCTCCATCACATCTAGATAGTCTACTCCTAATATTGTTGTTATTGAGCTATTGTTAGGTGCTTTCAAATCGATACCAACTCATAGCAACCCATGCGCAATAGAATGATACACTGCCCCGTCCGGTGCCAACCTCACAGTTGTTACTACGTTTGAGCCCATTGCTGCTGCCACTATGCCAATCCATCCAGTTGGGATCTTCCTCTTTTTCTAACCACCCTCCACTTTACCAAACAAGATGTCCTGTTCCAAGGACTGGTCCGTCCTGACAATATGTCTTAAGTATGGGAGATTAAGTCTGGCTTCCAGTGAGCATTCTGGCTGTACTTCTTCCAACACAGATTGGTTTGTTCATGTTGGCAGTCCATGGTACTTATAATATTGCTGCTGTTGTTGTTGTTAAGTGCGTAGTGATCGGTTCCAACTCTTAGTGACCCTAGGGTTTCCGAGCAGCAGCTGGTAGGTTTGAACCATCATCCTTGCGGTTCAAACTGACCTTGCGGTCCAGTGTATTTTCCTGCAGCACCACACCAGGATTCCACTACTAATACTGGATTTACCAAAATGCTTATTTGAGTTTATACATACATGATCACAATGCCTACTCTGTGCTCTATCATATCTTACATGTTTCATACATATATCTTCACTAGTTTGACCCCCAAAGTAAACCTGGGTAGTAGATGCTGTAATTGTCCTCATTTTTCAGATGGGGAAACTGAGGCACAGAGAACCAAAGTAAACTCAAGGTCATACAACTGATAGATAGGATTTTATCATATCTGCAAATTTCTTTTTAGAAAGAAGACATGATTTTATAATTTACTTATTCTTGTTTTTACTTTTCATTTAAGGATAAATGATGAAAAGATTTCCTGTGAAGCATAAGAATCCATTTGTGGGAATGCTCCACACGCACCTTTAACTAGAACGTGAGGACAAATAGGAAAGAATCGTCTGTTTACTGGAGTTTGAAGACATCTGTATCTACCAGAAGATCCAAGATGGATCTCCATCCGAACACTACTACCACATTCCTTGAGAACTGGGGTTTGGATGAGTCACCATCTGGCTGTAGGAGACGTTATAATGTCAGGAAAAAACTGAAGTTCATTAGAATCTTAGGCCTTTTCATGGGCCTGGTGGCCATCAGCACTGTCCCATTTACAATCAGTGCCTTTTCTGAGACAGAGCCACAGAGCACAGGAGAAGCCAATAGTGTAAGTGACCCTAAGGAAGCACATGGTTACCGTCAAAGAACTCTCTTAGATTTAAATGACAAGATTCGGGATTATACACCCCAGCCCCCTCTTCCTCAGGACAGCAAAACTGAGAATACTACAGAGCATGCCCAAGGAGACTACCCAAGAGACATCTTTTCCCTTGAGGACCGAAGGAAAGGAGCCATCATTCTCCATGTCATTGGAATGATCTACATGTTCATAGCCTTAGCCATTGTCTGCGATGAATTCTTTGTCCCCTCTCTGACTGTCATCACTGAAAAGCTGGGCATTTCTGATGATGTGGCTGGAGCCACATTTATGGCTGCGGGGGGTTCAGCCCCAGAACTTTTCACATCTCTCATAGGGGTCTTTATTGCCCACAGCAACGTTGGCATAGGCACGATCGTGGGCTCAGCAGTGTTCAATATCCTCTTTGTTATTGGCATGTGTGCTCTGTTTTCTAGAGAAATCTTAAACCTGACATGGTGGCCACTCTTTCGGGATGTGTCTTTCTACATTGTTGACTTGATCATGCTGATCATTTTTTTCCTGGATAATGTTATTATGTGGTGGGAAAGCTTGCTTCTATTAACATCTTATTTTGCCTATGTGATTTTCATGAAATTCAACGTCCAAGTAGAAAGATGGGTGAAGCAAATGATAAACCGCAATAAAGTCATCAAAGTGACAGCGCCAGAGGCCCAAGAAAAGGTTGGTGGTGGCAGTTGTTTATTTAATGCTCTTCTTGACTATAGCTCTGAATTATGATGGTTTTGAGATCTGAACATTGGGTTGTAGTGGGTAGTCAATTGCATTCTGAAGTTCTGTGATAGTTAGGCTAACATGAGAGTGGAAAAAAATAATTGAGGAGCATTCATGTGGCTGTCTACTAAGTCCCCGAACTTCCTTTTCTGAGTCTGGCATATGTAAATATGAGATGTGTTAGCTTCCCAGATCAGATTCAGCAGTTAACATAGCTATTATTTTCTGGGTATAGGCCTAATGCTTTGGGGAGCAATTTAATTTTTATGTGAAAGTCTGTATGTGCTTACCAAATTAGAGGTCTTTTTTTTAAAGTGGGTATATAACAGTTATCAAAGACCATCTCTTTAAAGATGCTTAGGGAAGAATGTTTGTTCGTGCCACCAGAGTTAAGCCTTTAAATTAACAGTCTGGGACCCATTAGAGTGGCCATGGTCGTTTTCTTGACCCACATGATTTTGCTTCAGGTAGCTGGATTAGGAACTGATTTGAACCACTAGAAACTGAAGCACTGGGTAAAAACCACTGGAAACTGAGTCACTGAACCACTGGAAACTGCAGCTGACTTCTGTAGTGCGAGCGTCCATTTTCTATACCTCCATACACATTACCCCAAGTAATTTTACAGTAGAATGTGAAGCCACTCTAATGACAGTGGCCATTCTGCCATTTAGGTGGGAAAGAAATTGGTAAAGAGCTGAGAAAGCATTGTTCTACAAAACTGTAAATTAATTGTTTTAAAATCATGGAGAAGCAGCATCAAGAAATGTTAGGCTAAGTGTAGTTATACCATTCTGATTTATATCCTAACATTGGAATGTTATCTCTGAATGTGATTTTAAACAGAAAAGCCAAAATACATATGCAAACTCTTCATATCAGCATCTGGAGAAATTCTCATGTGTGCAAAATACAGATGTTTAAGTCGGGGATAGGATATATACATATTTATTTTTCAGAAAGAAAACGAAAAAAAAAAATATTGTATTAACATAGCTAAATGTACATCATGCCTTTATAGTCAAGTGAGACCATTTTTGTAGCAGCCATGAAATGGATGTGAAGTATTGAAGAAAAAGAATTGTCATGTTTCTATTATTATATGCAAAAAAGTAATGTTTTATACTACATTTCCTCAACCACTTTTTTCTCAGTGCATACTTGTTAGAAACTATAGTCAGAAAGATATATACATATACATATTGAGCAAGATACATGGCAAACAAACATCCAGATGTGATGACTAAATATATTTCCTCTGGGCAAAAGACAGAGCTGTCATTGGAGCCTCGCTTACTGCTCCGACTTTGTCAAAAATAGGGCCCTCAAACCCTCTCCTTAAGTCTGACTACTAGTTGGAGTGCTTTGTGTTGAAAATTTGTGTTTATTCTGAATAGAACCATTGTCAGGGTAAAAGCACATTTATTTTCAGAGACAAGGAAATGCCTTGGCTTCTTATAACTATCCTAGGTATATGAAGGGTAAAGTGGAGGGTCAATGAATAAGAGGAAGACCTCCAACAAAAAATGGGCTCAAATACAACAATTGTGAGGATGGTGCAGGACTGGGCAGTGTTTTGTTCTGTTGTATATAGGGTCACTAACAGTTAGAACTGACTCAGCACCTAACAACAACAACAACCACGTAAAAAGTAAGAAGTCTTCTGGGGAACTCAGTACTTTTTAGATATGTTACATGACAGTTGTTGTTGTTATGTGCCATGGAGTCAAACTCCATTAATGTAGACTCGGACATGAGGAAAGATTCTGTTGGCAATATTTATGAAAAAGGAATTTGCACAGCAATGCAGAAGTGTATGTTAAGATTGCAGGGGATTTTATATTCTGCTTTTAGAAAGGAAAAACTGGTTTCATACATTTGGGAAATAACATCTATATGCAGTTTACAAAAATATTTAGTCAATTGAAAATAATTAAAGCAACCCTGACTCAATTGGGGTAACTTAAAAATCAGCAACTCAGAAGATGTACCTTAACAGTTGGTTATTCATGTCAACTTTGTGCTAGACTTCATAATTTCTTTATCTCAAAATGACAGATTTGCCTAGTTTAAAAAGAAAGCAGGTTATATCCATATCTATTCATAATTTCTGATTATTTTTCCAAAAAAGTTTATTGTTTTCTTGTCCTCTTAGTACCAGTTTTAATTTACTCTATTTAATCATTAGTGGTGTTCATTAATTAGAATAAGCTGCAAGGCATCATGGCAATAGAAAATTTTGTATTGTTTTCTGGTATGTCTATGTCTTATTTCATATTATTCAAAAATCACACATTTTTAGATGGACTCTAAACTCACATATTACATAATGATATGTGATTTCCTTCTGGAAATTTCACCTTGACAATTTCACTTTTGAATCACTGCTGGAAAAGATTTTTTTTCAGTAGTCCCAGTCTTGTCAGCTGCCTAATTTCAGAATGTTATGGTGATTTTGCTTCTCGACTACTGACCATGTTGTTGTTGTTAGGTGACGTCATATTGCTTCTGATTCATCACAACCTTTTGCACAAACAAATAAAACACTGCCCGGTCCTGTGCCATTCTCACAATGGTTACGTGTGAGCCAGTGGATACTGCCACTGTGTCAGTTCATTCCCTTGGGGGTCTTCCTCTTTTTTCTGGCTCAGAAAAAAATTTTTTCTCCAAGTGTGATGTCCTTTTCTAGGAACTAGTCTCTCCTAATAACATGTCCATAGTATGAGAGACAAAGTCTTTCCAATCTGAGTTCTAAGGAGGATTCTGGTTATACTTTTCCCAGATTTGTACTTCTTGCAGATTTGTTTGCTCTTCTGGAAGTCCATGGTACCTTTAATGTTCTTCTCCAACACCATAATTCAAAAGCCTCTATTCTTTTACATACTTCCTTACAGATTACCCACCTTTCACATGCATATGAAAGTACCATGGCTTGGGCCAAGCACACTTTAGTCCTCAAACTGGTATCTTTGCTCTTAAACACTTTAAAGAGGTCTGTGTAGCAGATTTGCCTAATATATGTGATTTGATTTCTTGATTTCTGCTTCTATGGGTGTTGATAGTTGATCCAAGCAAAATTTAATCTTTGATAACTTCCATGTTTTCTCCATTTATCATGATGTTATTTATTGGTTCATTTGTGAGGATATTTGTTTTCTTTACATTGAGATGCAACCCATACTGAAGGCTGTAGTCTTTGATCTTTAAAGTCCAACAAACAAGGTGGTATCATCTGCATATTTCAGGTTGTTAATCTCAGGTTGCTCTAATCCTGATGCTTTGTTCTTCTTCATACAACATAATCACTGATCATGAAGTGAACCAAAAAGAAAAAAGTTCTTAAGGATGGTTGACTGGTTTTCTGGTCTGAAGAGTTGGCTTCTGGCTGGGTACCACACTTTCCTACAGACATCAATGTTTCTCACATCATCAGAACACTCAGCAAAAAAGACCCCAAGCAAATGTGGTCTTTCATGGAGGGCCTTATAGAGAGGAATATGCTATACAAGAATTTAAAGAGAGAAATGCTAAGATTGTGATTTATGCAAAGTCACATTAATGTCTGATTTGCACCATTCTGGGGCATTGGAGTTTGAAAAAAGTGATGAAACACATTTTAGATTTTCTTTTGCAAATCCTCAGATGGTTCTTGCTAAAATATTATCAACTCTGCTGGGCTCTGGGCTATGAAATACTCACTTCATGGACTAGTGAAAATCTTAATTTGATCTCTGTCAAGGGTAACTGTAAGTATGAAAAAAATGAATGTGGCTTTCTTTTTCATAGTTAATAGATTCTTTAATTGTTCTATCCAGTGTACAGTATTTATTATTTCCTTTATTGATACTATTAAGGCTCCTTGGTGGCACAGTGATAAAAGTGCTCAGATGCTAACCAAAAAGTCAGCAGTTCAAACTCATCAGCCACCTCATAGGAGAAAGATGTGGAGTCGGCTTCTGTAAAGACTGACTGCCTTAGAAGCGGGGGGAGGCAGTCACAGTCTGTCTGTAGGGAGGCAGTGGGTCTTAGTGATTCCAGTAGACTTCTGAAAAAGTTGTGTAGCCCAGTGAGATCATTCAGAGATCCAGGACTCTGATTCAGGGAGGAACGAGCTTTAATCCCAGTTCTATGATCGGCCCTGTGACCTCAGAGAACTTACTTAAACCCTCTGAGTCTCCGTTTCTTAATTTAGAAAATGACAATCAAAATACCTACTTTATTAAATTGGGGAAATTATGAAATGAACAAATTAATGTGAAGCAGTTGACATAGTTCTTGGCTAATATGAGTTGCTCAATATATGTTAGTTGTCTTTTGCTTTCCCCACTTTAAGTGAAAAGTGAATCACAATGTGAGAATTTCAAAAGATTCTTAGAAGATGGGATTCCGCAGTGAATCTTTGGGCTAAGCAGACCATTGTCTTCCTTGTTGCTGTTGTAGTTCTCATATGCCGCTGAGCTCATTCCAACCCATGGAGCATATGATATTGATCATATTATATTTATAAACTCCCATTCACATACAGTGAATATGTGCATGCCACATACTACCATAAACATCCAAGAAAACATCCAAATGCCTTTGTTGTGTTGTGATTTTATGGTATAGAAGTTTGCTTCAAATAAGTAGGCTTGTTGGCTAGGATTTAGAAATATATGTACCAAGCAGAGATTTTTGTTTCAGATTATTTGTACCTGTAAATTATTTGGGCTTTCTTCTTAAAACTTCTCCATAGCTTATTAGGAATAAATTCAAATCCTATGAGTTTGAAGCAGTTGCGTTTCAGTGGACCCACAGCAGGATCCTGACTGTGTGGGCCCTTTTCTGTGCATGTTGTCATGCTGCTGTGGTGGGTTGTTCTGTTACTGTGTTAGGTAGTCATTGGCCTAGAAAGTAGCTGTCCATGGTATTTAACTTCCTCTTGACTTGACTTTGTAATCTGACGGCAA